GGCCGGACCATCACCAGCGGGTCCCTGAACAGCTGCGGCTCCGAAGGGTCTACGGGAGGCATGACGGGTATGGGTCAGGCACTGGGACGAGGCAGTGAGTAGCATTCCCCTTGAACCCCCCTTTTAGACGCACGACCGAAAAGTACGACATGGCTGACTTGTGTCTCCTGCAAGTGGTACTGGCGATGAGCATCTGGAATGACGCCGCTCAGAACATGGCCTGGCTCGACAGCGGCACCAACGGACCCTGTGCAAGCGGACAGGGCAGCCCCTCAAACATCCAGTCACAGCATCCCGACACGCACGTCATCTTTTCAAATATCCGATGGGGAGATATCGGATCGACCACCAAGGGCTGATATGCCAGAAGCCATGACTTGCCAAGCCGCTGGATATCGAATGGCAAGGAGGTTTCAGGAGACGTATGTGGTCTTCGTCGGGTTGGGTTCGAGTAGTAGTTGAGGACAGTTAAAATTCTTGTGCCAAGATCGAGTGATGAAAACAGTTTACTCTGAAGTGTAGTTGAAAACATGCTGTGTAATTTCCACAATGAGTCTAGAGTTCCCGCTATCCAAAAGGGAGAAACAGTAAAAAGAAGGAAAGAGAAACAAAAACGACAAATAAAATCCGATGTTGTCCGCGTCTGCTCGTTTACTTCGTCTCTCACTTCAATCAAAATACTTTTACGGGTGCAAGAACTCGTAAACCTGGGCCGCAGTCTTGCCCTCGTCAACCAGATTGTCCGAGTTCAGGCGCCAGACATGGATGCCCGCCATATTGTTGGCCGTGTACTGCTGCTCGACCTGGTCGATGGTCTGGCCGCCGCAGTTCGTCTCAGGACAGATGCCATACAGCAGCTGGTCGGACTTGAACCCGAGACTGACGAGTGTCTGCGGCGTGATGCCAGACCCGCCCGCATACGTCTGCATATTGACAAAGTCGACGACCTGCGTCGTCTCGTCGAGGTAGCTGCTGCTGGCGGGGGAGACGGTCAAGTAGAACTTGCGGCCCCCTTCTGCTTTCCCGAGGGCGTCGAGGCTCTGTCGGACGAGCGTCAGCAGAGCGGGAGCGTAGTCTTGAACGTTGTAGCACTCGTAGTCAATGTCGTAGCCGTCGATCCCGCCCGAGACGGACGACCAGGTCTGGAGGAAGGTCGCCACGGACGCGGCGTATTTTTGAATTGCCGTCTCATTCTGGAGTGCAGAGATGTCGTAGCCCCAGATGTTAGGGGACGAACCCCACCATTGAGAAGCAATGATCTTTATATCGGGATTCATGGACCTGGCTTGCTGGATAACCCAGTTGAAACGATTCGCGAGAGGGCCGGTCTGCTGCGAGGAGTAGAGACCGAACGTGCCGTCCTCCTGGAGGCCCACAGGCCCAACGAGAAGAACATCAGCGACCGTGAAGTTGATCTGCAGCCACTGGGAAGGGATCTCGGTGTAGTTCTGGTCATCCGAGAGGTAAACCCATGCCGCTGCAATCGGAAGGGTGATGGGCGGCGGCGCCGTGCTCGATAGCCTGGAGATCACCGCTCTCCACGCTATTGAGCAAAGCAGGGCGCTGATGATCCCGAATCCGCAGTGTCTGGCCACGGCACTGGACAGCATGATGCTGGCGAAAACAAGGATTCGACAAGGGAGCAAAGATTTGGGTTGACTTCAGTTTCCTTTGGTGAAAAAGAAAAGGGGCAAGTTTCTGGAGAGTACACCACAGCCCCGAACCTGACAGCCTGTTTATAGATTTTGCTCATGGCTCTTCAGCCTTCTCTTTCGCGACAGCGACATGTGGCTAGCTGACGTGAACCGGGGCCACCAATCTATTGGTTCGATGCATCATGCATGAGAGAAGTGTGGTTAGTGCTCGGCCTCGAGCTGCAGTAATCCCGGCGCACGCGAGCCGCAACATTCTCTCGAGATCAATAGGCCAAGACTTGCGGCTGAGGCATTGTCTCGATGCGGAAACCCTGGACGGCAGCTTCGGCAAGTGGCGGGCTGACAGAAAAGCTAAGTCCATAGCTCATGTCCGCACTAACTCGATTAGGGATTCATGTTAGTGGAACGGGGAAGTGGCTTGCTGAATGCGACTCGTTTCGGTGTGATCAAGTCAAAGCACTGGAGGGTGGGTTGGAAGCTTTTGTCGTCTTGCGCGAGCCTGGAAATCCAGTTTGTTTGGGGCCAGGTGAAATGCAAGAGCAACAGCAAGAGCAAGAGCGGGCAAGTGTGTGCGCCGTTTGCACAACGGCATCAGGTGGCAAAGCTGTGACACGAAAATTGGAGTCAACTACGGGAGAGCGGACACCGCGAGAAGGATGGTAAATATAAATGGGCCGGCACAGCAAAGATGGTGGGCAGGCACGACAAGCAGCAGATATTTTGCGTCAAACTTAAAGAGTGGCGGATGTCTGCGCGAGGAGACTCGAGGCTTCCAACTTGACGTTTCGCCACTCACCAGATGAATCGCGCCTTCTGTCGAGTCAGATTTGTGTGAGTTGCGTAGCCGGAGATGGGTGACTCACACTTTCCCTGCTGACGTCTAGGCCCTGCTGATTTCTAGGAAAGAATTTGCAGCATCCCGAATCGTATAACCTCCCCCCCCCCCTTCGGATTGTTTTCCTCCGCTGTTTGTTTTGCGACCTAGTCACCAATGATGCTGTCCAGAGTCATCTCAGCCAAAACTATCCTCCTGTGACGTATTTCACAGGCTTTTTCATAGCGGTCGTAGGTGAACTGCAATAAAATCTCATAAAAAAAAAGGTATGAATAGACGTTAATTAGAGAGACTTTTGGCTGACCTTTCAAATAGTGTAGGGCAAAATTATCGGATTGAAAGCGACCTCAGCCAAAAAGGTGACCCAGATCACCGATCTGGATCTGGACGATAAGGCAGGTTGGACTGGCTGGGAGTCGAACCCAGGACCTCCTGACAGCTACTTGATTCAGCGGAACGAGGCAGATAGGGGTTGTTTGTGGCATTCATTTCTTTATCTATAAATTTATTACTCTCGGAGTCTTGAAAAGTAAGAAGTGATTTCCCCTAGACATAGTATACTGACGCTTCTTTTACTTTGCACGCCACCCTTGTTGGCGGTGTGGACCGGCTTAGCAGGGGATAAACTTGGACTACACTGACGTGGCCCGGCCTGTCGAAACCTGCTTCGGATTCAGCTCTCTCTCCGCATGGCGACAAGCACAATTTTACGACGCCAGGCACGGTAAGGGCCAAGAATCCTGTTCAGCTAGACGTGATTTGACTGGTCTTCGTCAGGGCGTGGTGATCGACGGCTACCCTTCGTTATTGGATTTCCCTCCCCCAAGCCCGTCTTTTAGTGATTCTAGGCTACATCTTGATCCCTAAATGTTTTCCGTCGTGAGACTTTTAAGCCTGAAAAGATCTTAGTCTAGGTACCTACCTCGCTGCTCGCCCGAGAGGTTCTCTCTAAGGGAAGCGGTAGTTAATAGAACTCCTCATATGAAATTCCAAGCCTCTGTTCCTTCTAGGCAAATGGCCCGGCTAAGGTTTTTCCAGGCCTCTTCTTTATCGGACCCCTAACCTATTATTTCCTCCTGAAGCGTACCGCGCTAGAATCATTTGGGAATTAATTAGCTTATGCAGTTCTTAACGGACAGATATTCGTCTTTGATATACTCCCTACTGTGTCTTTTCACTATTACCCGATTTATCTCTCCCTCTTCCACTCCATGTGTTCTGGTTGGCGACCTTATTTTCTCAACAAACGTGCGTCTCTGGCGGCAGCAACTTCTGAAAACAACGAGCAGTACTTCCAGGTTAATTATCGCACTAAAAACCGCTAAAGTTGAACTTCCTATTGGCAGGCTCGCAAAGTCTGGTTTGTTTTGTGGTCGAGACTTTGACATGATCGCGTGATGCTGGCTTGGCAAGTCTCGCCGGTTCACCTTCTGGATTGAGTGGCTCATAGAGTCCAAGGTTTGCGTATAATCAGGTGCCAAATTAGGCTCGACCCGCACGTACAAGACACGTATTATTGCCGCTCACTTCTTTTGTAACCAGCCAAAATGCAAAATCGCCCCCACCATCGCCCTGATTATACCTTTCCCTCGATCGCATTGAAGCGCGCTACTTCTTCCTATACTTACATGGATGAATTATACTGGGATATCTTCAACTCCGAGCGCGAAGCCTGGGATGACGATCTCTTCAGCCAAGCCCAAGACCTTCTCCGGCAATGTTCCCCAACCGATACCATGACTCGGATACGCGTTGTCTTCGGTGCAGACTCATTCAGTCTCTGATCAATCGCAGATTCAAAGATGATCCCCTAAAACTGCAAAAGTCCACTCTCGAGATCGTCCCCTCGCCTGCAAATCAGTCGCCACCCCAGTGCATGTCAGCTTCATCAGAAGAACAGCCGGCAGATGTGATAGCTTCGCCGCCGTCGAGGCAGTGATTCAACGGACAGGACGAATGTCCCCGGCATAATTGGGATTGCAGGCGGTGGGATTGCAGGCAGTGGGATTGCAGGCAACGGAATTGCAGGCGGTGGGATTCCAGGCAACGGAATTGCAGGCGATGGGATTCCAGAAAGCGAGACTTCAGAATGCGGAAAGACAACAGATTTGAGCTGGGCGATTCAAGGTTCAAGGGCGAGCTCGATGACAGAAATCCGCCCAACCTTTAGCTCGCCGGCATTGCAACTTGTATGGCAGAGTTTCATTTCGTGCCACCAGCAAAGCCCAACACAGGGGCTACGTAGCTCACGCCCTGGGGGTCTGGGCCAACTGCAATGATCCCAGCGTCCGGCTCAAAATTTGGTGGTGGATGCGACGGCAGACAGAGAGATGGCTCGGAACGGACTGAACATGCCCGCGAGATGGCGGCGCAAAAAATGTTCTTGCTCGAGTTGCACTTGCCGTCGTCGAGTTATGCACGGTATGGAACCCTCCCTTATATACCCTTGCCAGGTCCACAATCCCCATCGCACCAAGCTGCAGTGGATGCTCAAACATCTACACTTTCAATCTTCCGTTGTATAGTGGCCAGTATATGAGCTTGTCAACTTCACAGATGATTACGCTCGGGAGGGGTTCAATTCCCGGCGGGAGAGAATGGCATAATTTTTGCCGTCCGAAGAATGAGAGCATCCCTTCTTTTTGCTTCCGTTCTACGTCCATCCATCTGTCATTTTAGTCCTATGAGAGCTACTGACAGCAAAGGACGCCACGAGCCCCTCGCCTCACCCTTTAAAACTCTTTGGTTCCATGCTTGTCGGCGTCGGCAACCCTGGTTCATCGCCGATTTGCAGGCCTCCATGCGAGATAGTGGGATTGCTTGGATCTGAAGTGGCCGCATCCAACTCGCCGAACCCGTCGGCGTAGTTGGTGGGATAGGGGAAAAGAGACGTGTCATTCAGTCCGCCAGTCCCAGAGTCGCCAGATGGGTAGCTGTCAGAACCAAAGTCCAAAAAGCCCAAGTCGTCACCAAAGAAGTCAAGGGTGCTGTGCAGGCCGCCACCCTCCGCTTCTTGAACACTCTCTTCAATAAAATCCCAAGGCCGTAGAGCCTCGGCACCACCAGGCTCTGCAAACATGCCAGGGGTCGGAGCGGCGAGTATGGCCGATGGAGGAGTTTCGGCTGCTGAAGAGCTGCCGGCTGACGTGTCGCCGTCCGGGTCCAGCGTAGACTGACCTCGTGCAGAAGCCCATTGGTTGTATATCTGCTTCAGTGACAGCTGTAGGGCCTGGCGCTCGTACATGGCGCTGCGCGGCCCAATGCTCTCCCTCAGGATGCTCGGGCCCTCGGCCAGGAAGAAGTCACGAAAGGAGCTCAGGTCTTCAGACAGCGAGCCGTCGAGGTATGGCGAGTCGGGCCGCCGCGGGTGGTCGGGAAACACGACGTCCCAGATCGCGTACCACTGCTGCTCGGCCGTGTGGTTCGGGCTCGACTTCTTTTTCAGGCTCTCCGTCTGGTCGTCCGTCAGCCACTTCCGGCGAAAGTCCCTCATCTCGCATGGAATGGCGCTGGCGTAGTGCGAGTCCCGGTCCTGCCGGCACGGGAACTCGTGGCCGCACCGCACACAGTGGCAGGACCGGGCATGGACCCTGCGCAGGTGCTGCTTCACGTCCTGGATCCGCCTGAGCCGGTACCTGAAGCAGTATCGCCACTGGCTCGAGTTCTCCTTCCAGAAGGGACAGGCGAACAAACGGTCCAGTCTGATGGTTTCCATACCGTTTGGGAGCGCGACTTCGCAGCCCGGCTCTTTTTCCTCGGCCGAATCCCCATTATCGTCTGTGCGGCGCCTCTTCCGCGGCGGGCCTTCAATTGAGCCCTGCTGGTCCTCGTGTCTCGTGTTCCGGCTGCTGCTCGCGCCACCGGATCCCGAGCTCGATGGAGCAGAGGTTGCCTGCCGTAGCCACTCCTCGTACCGGGCGAACAGCAGAGGCCGGGCGAACAGCAGAGGCAACATGTCACGGGCCGTCCCAGAGAATTCGTTTGACAGAGATCGAGACACGATGCTGTCTCCAATCTCATGCGTGTGGCCGTCGTCGAAGTCTTCGTTCCGTTCCGAATCATCTGATGATTCACTAGAATCACTAGGAGACGGGCTTGGGGGAGGGAAATCCAATGACGAAGGGTAGCCGTCGATCACCACGCCCTGAGGAAGACGAGTCAAATCACGCCTGGCTGAACATTTGGATTCTTGGCACTTACCGTGCCTGGCGTCGCAAAATTGTGGCTGTCGCCATGCGGAGAGAGAAGTGAGTCCGAAGCAGGTTTCGACAGGCTGCGCCACGTCGGTGTAGTCCAAGTCCAGCTTGGAGGGCCAGGGTCGCGAGGCACGAGCACCCTCTCAATTACGCACGAAGAGCATCGCGCGTGGGGACACAGCCATTGCGGGCAGGCCTCGTTGATTTCCCATGTCCCCGCGAAACCGCCACACTCGCACTGTCACGTGTCTGTCAGTCCTTGAACGAGTGCGGGAATAGTCACTATGGAGATTTCAATACGGACACAGAACCAAGTATAGTCGTATTTTGGCGCAATATTGCTTCGTCTTGAACTGGCAAATCTATGTTTGTGTATCGGCATGCTGAAAGCAAACAGTGGCCCAAAGAGAGGTGGGTTGGTACTTTGTACTTTGAGGTATTTAGAGCTGCCAAAACGACATAAAAGGCAGAACTGTAAAGGGGCTGGACAAACAATAACCACGGGCTATAAGGCCTGTAGTTCAGTGCTACAGCAAGTGCAGAATTTGGCTATGGCAATTGGAGGGCCAGAGAACTGATCACTGGCAAGTCTGTTCTTTCGGGACAAGTCCTGCTGAGGCGAGGCTGGCCAGAATTGGCGAAGAGCACAACGGTGCGTTCACCACGGCCCGGTGCCCCCGCAGAGTGAGAACCATCCAATGAGAGGGCAGCCGGGAGTGAGCAAATCGGAGTTCAGTCCGGTACATATGTACATGCGCCACACTTATTCACCGGGAGTTCGGGACTGGTTGAGACTTGAGAGGGAATTTGAGACGCAGAGACGATCCTTGAGACCGAGACCTGTCTTTTTTACCACCAAACACGCCCTGAACTATCACACAAACAGAGTCCAAGTCCAAAAACCAAATTGATCTGTCTGTCTAGCTAGCCATCCCCAAGCTAGATGTCCACCCAATCAGCAAATGCACTGAGCGCCGCCGTTGAACTCGGCGCAGCATCCTGACCCGGCCCCGCAGTCCCTGATGGTCCTCCACGTGCCCGTGGTGTCGCAGTTGAGAGCGAAGTCGTCGAGACACGCCCACTGGCCGAACCGGCACTCGGCCCTGTCTTAGAGGAGAGGGTTTGGGGACTGTGCCTCGGCGTTGGCGGCTAGAGCGGTAGGACTCGCCGTGGCGGCTAGAGCGGCCGTGGCTAGGACGACGACTGAGGCGAGGTGCTGGAGCTGCATCTTGAGTGCGTGAAGATGGACGTTTGGAAAGGTCGTTAGGGTTGTTGAGGCGTGTCTGACTGTTGAATGGTTGTGGTTAACTTTGGAGTAATGTCAAGTTGTCAACTGAGCTTGGGGAGTGAAGTGATGTGACGAAACGACATGGCATCTCGTCGAGACGTGTTGGGCCTTTTATACACAACAAGACAGCGAAACACACTCCATTAACCAACCTGCAAGGACGCGCCCGAGTCGATGCAAATCCGAGCAACTCGGACAATCCGACCTTTTGATATTCGATGATATCCTAACACGCTCACTCAAGGAGTTAATCAGTAGGATCGGACGGTAACACAACGGCTCTGGTCAGCAATCCTGCTGCTCAGTCCAGGGCAGTTACGAGCAATCGGTGGCATTATTCCATTGCAATTAGTGTTACCTTCCCCTCGCGGTCTCGAACTTACTATCCATGGAGGTCAGCAGACAGTGCCGGACGGTAGTTATGGAACTGACCGACGCGAGTTCCGAGCCTGAAGCCGCGCGGGTTGAGTTGAAACCGAAGTAGGAAGCTGGGCCGGGTTACACGGACTTGGCGTTCTTGCTGGTGCAGCTTCACTTTCAACTTGCCAGTGAACCGCATTGATCAGTTTGAATTGGAATCAGTTGAAATTGGCTCTGTGAGCTGATGTACAGCTGTTCCTGTTGCAACGCTGATCGGTCCCTATAGAGGCCTTGATGCCTACATTGTTGCCTAATACCGGTCTTCTGTTCAAAGGATAAACAGGCCTTCTTTACCTTCTTTTCTTTGAAGGAAGAGAAGACTCAGAGATATACTTCAATTAAGCTGCATTGTGCGCAACAGTTCCCTTGTGCCTGACCTCACCAATCACCCCCCTGGACAGACACCACGAGTGGTCAGCACTTACTTCAGACTCCTCCAAAACAACGCATACGAAGGAAGGAGGACATGCACTCACCAAGCCCAGTATCCTCTGCCCCTTCTGGAACTGCTCCGAATTCTCCTCCCCCATCCACAGAGGCTGCGTGCGCTCGACGCCAGCCTCAGTATCGAACCCCTTGCCGCCCGAGACGAAGACAGCATTGCCATTGATTTCACCGTCAGCAGCGCACTGCACCATGAACCGCGCGACGTCGGCGGGGGAGTTGAGCGGCATCTTCTCGGCGGTCCACCGGTCGCGCAGGGCGCCGGGCAGCAGCTGCGTGGCCGTCGCCCACGGGCAGATGGCGTTGACGCGCAGCCCGGCGAACTGATGCGGCGTCCACGGCGCCAGCGCCCGCATCAGCCCGACCACGCCGTGCTTGGCCGCCGCGTACGCGAACAGCCCCGGCGCCGGCGTGATGCCGGCGATGGACGAGACCAGCACGATGGATTTGGTGAAGGCTGAGCCTGGTGCCGGCGTTGTGTTATCGGATTTCATGTACGCCAGCGCGAGCCGGGCAAAGTGCACCACGCTCGTCAGGTTGATGTCGAGCGCCGACGTGATGGGGACGGGTTCCTAGTGATCAATATCAGGATCGGGGTTAAGGTTCCGGGCGAATGGTGCAGAGAAGAGGGGTTTGTTTACCGTCCTGATGGTTGCCAGGTCCAGAGACTCGGGCTCGAACCAGCCCGAGGGTTCCTTGACGGCCGCGCAGGAGATGGCCACGTCTACCCGGCCGTGCTTCTGGTGTGCTGCATCGAACAGAGCCAGCTGTGACTGATATTCGCGCACGTCGACCTGGGTGAAGTGGGCTGTTCCGGCGCCATGGCTGTCGATGCCCTTACCTTTTTCGGAGTGAAGGTCCGCTTCGAGCTGCGTCCCGTGCTGCGCGTCCCAGTCCCCGAAGAATACGTGCGCTCCCAGGGCGTGGAGGAGAGTCACGGTTGCGGCGCCGATTCCCTGTGCTCCTCCTGGATGGAAAGCGGGGAGTTAGTTTCAAGTTGAGACTAGGTACCTAGGTTGCACAGGAACTGAGGTGAGTGTGTTGCCTTGCCTGTGATGACGACAACTTTGTCTCGAAGCTGTTCTGCGGCCGTGGGGGAGTAAATAATCTCGGCCATGGTGTTGCTCTATACAGGAACTTGTATACAGAAACCTGTATACAGAAACTTAATGTGCATGAATAGCCTAGACTTTAGTATCTACTTGAAGGGAAAGAAAAACTTACTACGACGTTGTTCTAAACGGCCAA